AGAGAGAGAGAGAGAGAGAGAGAGAGAGAGAGAGAGAGAGAGAGAAAGATACCTTTTTTACCCTAGACTCGACACCATTCTCTGATGGTCCCTTTGACCCCTTGGGGGCCTTGCCTGTCTTTGAACCCTTTTCTCCCTTCTTTCCATCGGTTCCATTATTTACACCAACTGCTGCATCATTGCCCCTTTCCTGCCCAGCTTCTGAGGCAGCACCTGTGCCACCTGGTACACTGGCAGCTACTCCAGAGGCATCATCCCGATCCATCAAGACAGCTGAATCCTCGTCCATACGTAGGCTGCGCGCACCACTTCCTACACCCCAGCTGCGGCGTTTCTTCTTCTCCTGCTTCAGAGTACACAAACAGACATGGTAAATACAAGAACAAGCGAGCTCATCAGGAGTGACGGCGCAGAAAAAAGCAGAAAAAAGAAGAAAAAAGGACTGATGGTGAGGGCTAAATGGGGTAACCATGCAACTACCCTATTTTGCCATCGGGTACGAGATACCCCATGATGTAAAAAGGGTGAGGTGAGGTGAGGTGGGGTGAAGTGAGGTGAGGTGAGATAAAAAAAATTCCACACGTATGCGCAGGTCGTACTCAAGCGTACACACAGGTCGTACAAGAACAAGTTCACGTAGTTGAGGTAAACAAGTCTTTCACACAGTAACCGACCAATGCGACCATTAGTCATCCCAGTTATGTAGTAAACAACTAGAATCCACCCGGCTATCTACCGCCTTACCCTGAACATTACGCATACGCGTTGTTCGAGTTTCGAAAAAAGATCGCCGACTCCAACATGCATTGTATTTGGATATTCCGGCTGTTGGAATAGAACGCATGTGTGTTCTATATTCGAATAGAAAGCAACCGATGCGGTTGTATTCATTTACAACCATACTTGCAAGCAGACGGACCGGACGAGCGTCCGGTCCGGTCCGCTTTGCCGTGTGCGGCACCCTCCCCCCGGACCGGACGGGGCCGTTTTTTTTTGGGGGGGGGGGCTGGGGGGTAACTGGTCGTCAGGCGCGCATTGGTGCGCCGCGCGGGTCCAGTCCGGCGGTCCGCCGCACGTGTGGAGCCGCCCGGACGACGTCCGCTTGCAAGTATGTTTACAACGCATACGCGTTATGTTCGGGGGAACACCGGAGCAATCAACTTGTTACAGCTTGTGGACGCATTGTTAACCACGTCAGCTAGTAAACAACTACTGTCTTCACCCGAATAGAACGCCCGGTCATTACGGTCGTATCTGGACTGAGAGTTGCACCAAATACAGCTATCATGACGGAACGCTCTAATATTCGAGTGAAGACACGAGTAAAAGACCTCACTGCTCACTGAAAAACAATTGGATCGCACCAACCAGTAAACAACCAGGTCAGTCCTTTTCAACAAATGGCAAGCTGATTAAACCACCGGTACCTACCGCGTTTTTTGGCGTTAACGAGGAGGCTGAATCTGTGCACCGCCCCGGTCCATATGCATTTGTGTCAGAGGCGGCCTAAGACCCCCCGGGGTACTGGTGGTGTAACTTTTTAAACCACCACGTCATCCGGACCCGTATCGACAAACCAACCGAGCCTAAAATTCTACAGTGCCACCCTGAGCATAAATAATTCTGGTACACTCTTCCCCACCCCCAACCTTTATCGGGCCTGGGCACTACAGATTTTGGCCGGGTACTTGCAGACAAGCAAAATGAACAATGCGGGGGCTGTTGGAGTGGTGGTTTCAACTTTAAAGTTGAAACCACTAGTACCTCCGCCAGTGTTGGGAAAACAGGGAAAAGTGGCAGTTTTCCAATAGTCCTAAAAAGATTGGGGGCAGGGCCTGACGATGGCCACCGTCGATACATCTCATCGGCGGCCGCCGCTTCGTTTCCGCCTCCCACAAGATCAGAAGCCCACCGAAGTACCGGTACTTTTCAGCAAAAAGAGACAAGTCCAATCATACCACCTACAGGCAAATAACATAAACCCGAGCATAACTGATTCATGATGTGACATTTTCCAATTCCAAGCATATTTGTATAATTTGGTGTGTCCCTCGGGTCCATCACAATTCCACTCCTCTTTCCAATAACAGTTAAAATTTTAAAAATTTCAAGCCTCTTGCAATTCAGGGAATCAATTTAACCGTCCTTCGGGACATCCGTTAAACTTGGAGCGATACTCTTCGATTCCGTGAGTTCTTTTTTTTTTCCTTCTTGGTTTTTAAATTTTAATTCTGATCGGCCAAAAGTCTATTCTAGTGCAATTGTACAAATCATATTTTGCTTCTGGATTTTTTTTTTATGTTTCTTTTTTTTTTTTTTTTTTT